CACCTTGAACCTAGCCGAATGCAGTTAAGGCTAGGAGGTCTTTTAATTTCTTTTTTTATAAAATTTATTATCTGAGACACACTTGAGAGTGGTAGGATAGGAGGCTATTTGGCAGACACGATCAACATTTTATACAGATATATATTTGGATATTTTAGAAATATATACTCTCACATTCCAGATATATTTGAATATTTTAGAAATATATACTCACACATTCCAGATATATTCGAATATTTCAGTCCTTTCTTCGGAAATTCAAGTTTTTTTTTTGATAATTCAGTAAGATATTTTGATATTACAGATTTATTTGGATATTTTTGTCGCATATTGGATATTCTACATATATATATGTATATTTGGGATATAATTTAGTTAACTGTTTGTTACAGTATCTATAATTGACTTTCTTATTAGAGTTAGACGTTCATTAAATGTTTGCATATTACAGATTTATTTGGATATTTTTGTCGCATATTGGATATTCTAGATATATATATATATTTGGATATTTAGTTAACTGTTTGTTACAGTATCTATAATGGACATTCCTTAAATGTTGGTATCTATTTAAACTAATGTAATTTTTACAAGTTTTAAATTTCTAATATTTAACCAGATCCCTGTGCATAACATCAATACTGGAGGAGTGGAGGAGCTACGAAATCAAAAAGCCGGGCCTCCTTCTGTCTAGTTCACAACAACACTTTGGATTTTAATTAGATATATTTAAAATATGAATCTTTATGTTCTTATTGTAATAAAGATGTATATATGTATATTATATATAGGTATATATCAAATGAAAGGTAAAATTATGTAAAGATACAGAACTAGAAGTTTGAGAAACGTTGAAGAGAGGAAACTGAGTTAATGTACTGAAACATGGTTCAATATAAACACTAGAACTTGTACAATTCATTTCATCTCTTCACAGTCTTCATTCTACAGTCTACAGTCTACAGTCTGCAGTCTACAGTCTACAGTCTACAGCTAGTCTACAGTCTACAGTCTACAGTCTACAGTCTACAGTCTACAGTCTACAGACTACAGTCTACATTCTACAGCTAGTCTACAGTTTGCAGTCTACAGTCTACAGTCTGCAGTCTACAGTCTGCAGTCTACAGTCTACAGTCTACTGTCTACAGTCTGCAGTCTACAGTCTACAGTCTTCAGTCTACAGTCTACAGTCTACAGTCTACAGCCTACAGTCTACAGTCTACAATCTACAGTCTACTGTTTACAGTCTACTGTCTACAGTCTACTGTCTACAGTCTACTGTCTACACAGTCTACGTATATTCATATTTTTAGCTTGGTTGTCTGTCTCTTGAAGCCAATACATGTCAGATGTGCTGATTCAGAGCCGATCAGAACCACATTTTTGGGGCAAATCACATTACCCCAGGGAAGGTTCATGGACAGTCAAATTTGTTATTTTTAGAATGCACCAATTTAGACAGAAAAATTCGCAAACCATCTTGTTAATTCCAGGTAGATTCTGGATCTTGGTTAAAAGTGATCGTGAGTTAGCTTTAATTTTGGAATTTTTTTCTCACCTGTAAACAGGCGCGCAACTAGGGGGGGCCAGGAGGGCCAGGCCCCCCCTAGCCTGATTAAGAGGGGGCATGCCCCTCCCTTAAGAAGTCTTGCCCCCCACCTGTAGGGGGGGGGGGCAAGAAATGACGAAGTCCACCCTGTTTTGCAATTTAGCGATTCATGAATCCAGACCCTGAGGAAATTTAAGAGCTCTTATCGTAAAATAAAAAAAGATGATTGAACGTTAGTTTATTGAGCTTATAGTTCAATCCATATAGCACTTAATACACCATATACACACATACAGATCCCCCCCTAAAAATGTTCAGTGGGGTGCTAAAAAAATTTTCGCGCTTCGCGCGAAATATTTCACCCTAGCCCCCCTCTAACCAAATGTCTAGTTGCGCGCCTGCCTGTAAAATAAAGATTTATTTGAATTTTCTGTTTAATATTTTTGTGATGGTCTGATAATTTCAAATATCAACGTTTTTATAAAGGCTTTATTTTCGACGAATTTAGAATGAGAGATCAAAATATGTCAATACAAATAGGATGAACCTTGTTATAGTTATTGTTCTACTTGAACTACAGTACGATACAAATGACTACGGAAAGGAAGACTGGAAGGCCAGAAACAACATTTCTTTGCCCGGACCACATTTTTTTCATTTTCTTGGTCAAGCCACCTCCAAATGGTTTGCAACATTTTATTTTTCAATTGTCGAATTCTTAACCCTATTCCTCCGGGGGGGTGGTCCATTTGCCTCCCCCCCCTGTAGTATTGATCTGAGTCTGTTGAAATTTTCAAACTTTTTCTAAATACCCACAGCCCTCACTTTAGGTCTAAAACCGGGCTTTTATACTATCTGCTGAGTCCGCACTCCTCAGGCACACTGCCTAAATGACTACTTTTTCCTATAATAAACTAAATCTTTGTTTTTTTAAAGTTATATGTTCTTTTTTTGCGCGCATTTTCAGAATTTTATTTCTAATGTTGGCTGTCGCGAATTGATATGAAACTTCAATAATTTTCGTTAATGACATCGAAAACTATTCAAAACTGTATCAGAAGAATATTGCAATGATACGCTTTTGAAGGTGGCTCCGACGAGAAAATGAGGATAATATTGGCTTGGACGAAGAATTTTTGTTCCAGCTCTCCTTAAAGAGGAACATTGTGAAAAACAAAGGGGTCGCGAAACGCCCTAAAACAAACAAAAAACCAGCTCAATGAAGAAAAATGTTGCGGAAACAACCTCGAAAGTAATCGCAAAAGAACCAGGATCTTTATGTTCCAGTATTTATTGTCCTTGAAGGGTCATAAACTTTAATATTTTATTAGGGTTTACTCTATTTATTTCTTTGCAGGTTATTCCTAGATCTATTTGACAAACAAATGCCCCGAATTTTGAATTCAGAAACAAAATTTAGCAAATTTTACCGTCACTACCTTCAAATGAATTGAGTTTTTGCCACAAACTCTGATTTTCTAATTTCAATATCGTAGCAACCCAATGTCGTAGACCTTTAATATTTCAAACTATGAATGCATGTAGATCAAATAATGTAAGTTAAAGTTAAAGGTTTACATCATGAGGTTGCAAAGATATAGATTTTACAAAAACTGAATTTGTGGCAAAGACATTGATCCTTTGTGTACTGGAATTGAGTCTTTGCCACAATACCATTTTTCATCCCTATGTCTTTGCAACTTGATGGTGTAAGTTTTTGATATTTCAAACTTAGACGTTTTGATCTAATTGAGTACACAGTTTGAAATATCTAAGGTCTACGATATTATAATTTATATGGATTAGAAAATCATCAATCAATCAATCGAACGCAAAAATTTGTATGATGTATTTTCAAAAGAGTTTAGCTCAGTCTCAAATATTCCTCTTCACCTATTAACAAAACAATTCCAGATTTCATGGATTTCAAATTTACATCAATAAATAATTTAAAATACGTTCAAATCATTCAACTCTCTTTTTAATCAAAGAGAATGTAAACATACAGGGTGTCCCACGAAACATGACAATAGGAAGACGACTTGAAAGTCGTCTTTGGTATTTGAATTTATTTGTGACATTTAGTCTTCTATCTACTTTAACATGTCTGATTCTTGAAACAATTATCACATAATTCTCCTAGCCCTGGCATTTCCAAAAAGTGGTCTGCGTTTTTCGTGCTTTCAATATTACCGGAGATATAAAGAGTTTGGTTCAGATTTCAATTTTGTTAAATAAAAGCAAAATTGTCGAAATCTGAACGAAATTCATCATATCTCGGGCAATATTGAAAGCACAAAAAAGGCAGACCACATTTTGGAAATGGCAGGACAAGGGAAATTTTGTGATTATTATCTCTAGAAATTTACTTCTAGAATTAGGTTAACAAATAAACGCAGCAAATAATATCAAAAATCAAGACGACATTCAAGTCGTCCTGCATACTGTCATGTTTCGTGGGACACCCTGTATGTTTAAAAAAGCATGTCCGGTTGAAACTGCTTAGACAAGTAGATTTAAAGTAACATATTTTAATTCTTTTATTGCTCGCACCTCTGACCCTTTAGTTTAAGTAAATTCAACCTAAAGTCAGACAGTGTCAACCTTGTTGCACCGGCTAGTCCTTGTCTGCTTTACTTACCCAATGTCTGGGTGATACAGTACAAACTGGGACCGTAAAGGTTGACCCGGCTCGGAAATTCAAATTCTTGTGAATCAGCAAAACAACTCTGTGGAAGGGCACTTGAAATATAATAAACTTAAAGTTTAATTTTAATTATTTATTGTATTTATTTATTTCATAAATCTTTTTGGCTGAATATACAATTTGATATATATGATATCTGTCTAAAGCTCTAAATATTAATTATACAGTTGTTCTACATGTACATGAGATGTAAGCCTAAACACTTGATAAATACATAGTGTCGCGATATCACAGGGTTTATAATGCACCTTCTATAGAGACCAGCTGAATATACACGATGTACGATTAAACATTTTCAGACCAATATATTTTGATATATAACTGTACTCAGACATATCTAAAACTTTTCAAATGTTTTTTTCATCATTTTTTACAATCTTGAAATAACAAACCTTAAATTTATTATTTTACCGTTTCTCGGTTTACATTTTATCAAACCTTGCATTTTTTTATAACAGGGTGATCAAGACAGTTTTATAAAATAAAAGTTGTTTCTTTATATAAAGATATTGTTTAAAAGAAAAATCTCTAAAAATGTCACCTAATTCAATGATTAACCGTACTTTTTAATGCATGTTTGTAAATCATAAATCCAGCATATTTTTCTATTCTGTTTTACGATTTTTAGATTCTTATAGCTAATAAACTTTTGCTGACAAATACAAATTTTTTTAAAATACATTTCTGAAATATATGTAATTTTGCGACGGCATACTTTGTATTTGGACAAAGCTTTTCAAAGAAAACAATTGGTTTCAATTTATTGTGAGGGGAGTGGATTAGTTTTATTTTTTGAAATGGGGGGAGGGGGGAGTTACACTTTCTCCGGGGCGCTAGGGCAGGAAGCCTTTTCTAAAATTTCTGAATCTTTTTCCAGTTTCTTTTTTCCCTCTTTTCCATTTTTAACATCTTTGCCATTCTTTGAATCTTTTCCGTTCTTTCCATCTTTTTTCTCTTTCGATTCTTTTTTTTCTCTCCTCTCCTTTCCATCCTTTCCGTCCTTTCCGTCCTTTCTGTCCTTTCCGTCCTTTCCGTCCTTTCCGTCCTTTCCGTCCTGATAATCCTCCTGATCCTCTTCATCCTTTACATTCACCAGGTTCAGTAAAATCCTAAAAACAAAATTCAAAATAATTCTCTGTATTATGCAATATTCAAACAACATAATTAATAAAGATTTGTCACAAATTAAAACAAAAACTATTTCCACCCCTACACTCCGTACCATCCCTCATCGACCCTAAACCCCTACCCTAACCTTTCCTTTAACCTACACCCCAACCCTCTACCTCTCCCGTACCCCACATCCCTACCCTCTACCTCTCCTCTACCATACACCCTTGTCCCCTACCCTCCAATCCTCTTCTTCTCCTCTACCCTACAC